ATATAATAATGAATCTTTTATAATTTTTTTATAAGCTTAAAATTTTTATTCATTTTTATATTTAATTTTTTTAAAAAAAATTTTATAGTACAATTTTAATTTTCTTTTTTCTTTTTTTTTTTTACTGTAAACAAGTATAAAATGTGAGTCTTTATTAATTAATTAATAATCCTGTCATTATATTAAGTATCCATTTAAGTTAACACTAGTCTATTGTATAAAAAACTTTTAAAATGATAAAACATCACATGGATGAAACTACAATAAAAGTGGTTTATGAATGGCTTATGCCTGTTTATAAACAGCTAAGTTATAGCTGATGGGAATATTTTTTTTAATAGTATGAAAGATTTTCAAAAGATTTGTCATGATTTGGTAAGTCTTTGATATATTTTTGTGTAATATTGTTATTGTTATCATTTCTAACAAGTTAATATCAGTTTAGTTCTTGTTTGATTGAAGTGTTAGAATTGGATTGGCCGTTGGGATTGTGTAGATCATTTGGAAGGGTTGAGCTGGTTTTGGTTTTTAATTTTGGAAAAATTTTTGATGTCATTACAGTAGCGCAGTAAAGTGTACTGTGTTTAAGTTATTTAGAAGGATTTGGTTGAGACAAATAAGAGAATCCAAAACTCTATTTGAATATACTTTTAGGAAGAAATTAGCAATGTTGAGGATGATGAGAAGGATGGTTATTATGATAGTAATAAAGGAGGAGATGCATAAAGATAAAATTAAGAAGGAGGACTGCTATGGACCTTTTCCCATACAACCAAAAAACAAACAAAACTTTCAAACTTGCTTGGCCTTTAACCAGAAGTCTCATCCCGATGCAACAGTGGTCCTTAAAATCCTTATGTTCTTGAGCTTATGGCATAGTTAGTATATTGAAGAGAGAGAGAAAAGTGCTTCTTTCAAGAAAATTACTATAAAAGGAAATTTTCAAGAAATTAGTGGTAAACAGGTGAGAGTTTTTTTTTGTACAATTTTAATTTTTATCTATATTATATATATATATATTTATATATAAAATTTATAATATTTTTTTTGAAATTTTTTTTAACTTTAAATTAATATTTTCAAATAAATTTATTAATTAAGCATTAATAAAACTTTAATATTATATTATTTGGATTTTAAAAAAGATATATTTGAAATTTCATATTAATTGAATTATTGTTTATTAAATTATAATAATAATAATAATAATAAGCTTTTTTGTTACATTATATATATATAATTTTAATTGCAAATTTCAAACTTAAAAAAAAGTATAAAAAAGTTTTAATTCAACAAAAATTATATAATTATAATAAAGATAATTTCAATTTTTATATATTATAATTATATGTTTTATTTTAAAAAATCATCGGGCATTACTTTTGGTGATAACTGTATATACAATATAAATAAATAGTATTTAAATATTTCAGAAGATACAAGATAGATTTTATTAATTGTTAAAAAAATTTTAATATCAGGTAAGTATCAAAATTTAATTGAAATTTTTTTTTTCCATTTTAAAGTTAAATTTATCAAAATTTTATGGATATACAGTATATTTCATTTTAAAAATAACTTTACTTAATGCATAAGAATTAATTTTAATAATAATAATACTCTTTGAAATAAGTACATGGGAATTTTTTTTACATTAATCATAGTGCCTGATTATAATTATTGTGATACTGGATATACAATTCTATTGAATTCATTGTCAAGTTTAGGAACAGGATTCTTGACAAATATTATTCCAGAGCTCGATACTTTGTTGTATTGGCATTTTACCATTCAAAAATAAAATCAATATAACTTTATGCATAAAAAAATCGAAACATAGATTTATCGAAATTCTTGGCAAAATAAGGCAGGTGTATAATCAGTGTTTTTAATGCCAGAAACGACTAAAGATACACAAAAGTATATAGTTTTGGATGAAAAATCTTTTAAAAGTAGAAAATGTAAAATAGGTATAATTGATGGTTTAACATAAATGTTCGATTGAATTCGTCGAAAAGATAAAGAGTTTCTGAAAGTAAAACATCAAAAGATTTCCTAATTAAATTCCCCTCTCAAAAGAAACTCGCCCTTCAGCCAGTTCCTCTAACTTCTATAATATTCAATCTGTTTCTTCGTACACCACTGTCATATCATTAAAACCTTTTGACTTCTAATCTTCTTCTCGCCAGATTGCAATCCTTCTTCAGGTGATTCAATGAGCCACATTCAAAACATTTGGTTTTATTGGAACACGTTTTATTGATATGGTCGACAGAACCACAACTATAACAAACAATCCCTGTACTTAGTTTTTTCAGAGCATCTTCATCGGCATTTATCAGATATTTCTCCCATTCATTTTGTCGTAATCTATATAAGAGCATGCATACTTTTGCGTCTTCAACCTATGCAAACACGATTTCAATATAAGTAAAATGTTCGAAATTTAGCTACATAAAAAAGACATACCGAATCATGTTCTCCTTTCTGAATGTCCAATCCCAAAACTTCTTTCGCCAATTTCTTTAATGATGTTGTCGTCTTCTGATTGGTGCCAAAAACCATATTATAATTTTGCGTATCACGAATTAAATGTTTTGGATGCCATGCTTTTAAAGCCTACATTACATAAAGAAATATGTGAGTAGAAATTAAGATTTAATGACAATGATTTGAATTAAATTCACGTAAATGCAGGATGCTAACTCGAAAATCGAAATGTAATGATTGTCCGACAACGGTTTTTCTTCGTATTAATTTTTTAACTTCCTTTCTTATTTCATAAAAATTATATCCTATGTGCCGTATATATTGTTAATATGAGAGAATAAATCAAATGACTTAATCGGTTCCACCAATCAATCTTAGATTAGAAGACAACTCGCCATTTTCCAGTAAGTGTGGGGTAATCCCACTAAATTGAGTACGATAATCCGTAACTTCTTCGGTGGGTTTAACAAATTTATCTATTAAGGTTTCCCCATGATAGTTTATGATTGATACCCTAGCAAGCATCGAGGTTTTTCCTTTTACACCTGCGCCAACCATCTCGCAATCGATAGAAATACAATTTTGAGTGGGTCTAGTGTAAACGTCGAAGTTGAAGAAATAAATATAAAAAAATACTTTAATGTGAATTGGGCATTAATATCATTAGCGTTAAAACAATCCAATTAAAATAAGAAATATGGTAAACAATACCGTGAACTCTGTATTCTATTGAAATGGTCAAACCATTCACTGGTAGTTTTAAACTTTATTACCGGCATGGTTGTAAATTCCATCACAGGAAATTCCATTTTCGTCAAATTTAAATTATTCAATTATTTCGTTATATGATACACGTAATGAAATTTTGAAATCATGCAAGCGTTTTAAAAAATTCTGTTCACCTTTTTATATCCAATATTTTATGCGTATTTTTTTGCTTTGTTTCTGTTACGTATTTCCAGATTTGGAGGTGAGAAAACACATGATCTGTACTTTTTTTCAAATCGTCGTGTAACGAGTCAAATAAAAGAAAATTTTCATTGCAAAATATACTGTATACAGATATTGTGAATTCTATTTATTTTGAAAAAATAAAATCATTAATTAAAATTTTTCAGTTATACATAATTTCAGTGAATTTTTTTTAATACTGTATATAAATTAAATAATATTTTTTTGATAAAATTTTTTAAATAAATATTAATCATTGATTTTTTAATTATTAACTTTAATTAATTATTATTGATTTTATTTTTTATTTTTTTTATAATTAAACAAGTATTTATTGTGTTTATTTAATCATTAAAATTGAAGATATAATAGTACAACAGTTTTAAGTATAAATTAAACTAATACTTAAATATTTATCATTAATTTACAATTTTTAGATATAATTTTAAAAATAAATAAAATTGTTTTTTTTTATTTTATTCATTTTTTGAAGAATTTAAGTTTATTGCTTGTAATTTATTACTACAGTTTATTTTAACAAAATTTTGATTACTTTATATTTTAACCATTTGATATTTTTTTTAATTTTATTCTATAAAGTTCTTCTGAAAATATTTATAAAATATTACTATTATCATATATTGTTTCTACTTTAAGAGAAAAATAAAGACAGAGAACTAGAAACAGGGAGATACTTTAGATGAACAGGGCCAATGTGGTATGCTAAAGTTCCTAAAGGCATACAAGTTAGTATAGTTTTGAGATGTATGAGGTCAGATAAAAGAGGCAATAGTGATTTGTTTTGTAAAGGTCAAGTTATTTATTTGATAAAATATATATTTAAGCCTGCCAATCCCTAAGAGAAATTGAAACCTTTATATACATATTTTGAATATAGTATTTTTGTACATAATAAATATGTTATAAGAAATAATAAAAATATAAATGAAGTGTTATATTTGTCAGAACAGTTATCTGTATGTGTTAGTATAGAAACAAATACTCTGACAAAAATATAAGAATTAAAATAATTAAATAAAATAGGAAATATTCTAAAGCAACAATAGCACGAAAAGCATAATGCTATACAATAACAAGAAATGTAATATAAGAATTATTCTAGAATGTATAACATTTTAAGAGTAAATGCTAGTAAAAATCAGACAAGGGATAATGATAATCATAAATGCTCTTAGATATTTAATGCTTTCATAATGTTTGAGTATTTGAATTAGATTATTGTCAAATTTGATTAAGTTATTAAGACTGTATTTAACATTGATGTTGAAGATTATTTGATTTTATATTTATTGCAAATAATATTGTTTATTATGAAAAATTGATTGGCCATTGAAAAGAGATTTTCCATTAACTGTTTGCCATTAGCAATAAGAGCCAAGTTATTTATATATGCCAGGACATTGGAAACAGTATAACTTCTAATGGACTTGTAGCTAGCTAATTTGAAGACAAGAAGATCATAAAATATTACCCAGATAATAGAAGATAGTGTCTCTCCTTGCTTCACTCTATTGTTCACTATGAAGGGTTCTGTTGCTTCAAATAATATATTAATAGAGACCTTTCTATTGCTAAAAAGATTGATAAATAAACTAAGAATAGTTATAGAATAGTTGATTCTTTTGAGAGATTTTTTAATGGCTGATTTCTTAATTTTTTTTTTTTTTGTTTTTAATAAACATCAGTTCTTGATTGTATGTATATACTAAAATATAACTTTGAAAAAGAATCTACATCTCTCATAATACATAAGTTAAATGCTAGTTTACCAAAATATCTATCCAAACTATATTAGAAAAAAAAATTTAAAACTAATATATTGTCTAGATAGTTGTACAACAGACTATACAATTTTAGTGAAAAATGAAAAAAGAAATAAATGAAAAAAAATTAGACATATATTAATATTAAATAAACAACTTTTCACATTACAACTTCAGCTCATGCAGCTATAGGGATAGAGGAGGGCTGACATGGATATGTACTTCCTAATAAATGCTCTGAAACTATAATCTTTGGTTGGCACAGACTACCAAATCTAGGAGCTTAAAAGACCAAGTGGGATGTGACTCCAAAATTTTCTAGTAGACACTCCAAAGGATTCGGTTGGCTTAAGCTGCCAATTCTAGGGGCAAAAACTACCAAGCAGGACGCAACCTCTACATACTCAGTAAGCCATCAGCACTGTCATGTCACACCTATATATTAGTGTCCATATCATCATTCTCTTCAAAATTATCTATTTGATATTAACACATGATAGATTGTTGGTAGTGATATTGTTGTTATTGTTATTGTTATTGTAGTAATCGATAATGCAATTTTGGTAAATTGTAATTGGTTGAAGTATAGTATTGATTTTTTGATAGGAGTGAACTGATTTTGGTTTTTTGTTGTGAAAAGAAAAAAAAACCAAAGTGTTTCTGTGTATATAAGCAAAAAAGATGTCAAACCAAAGGCCTTTCTCTATACAACCTTTATTCACAAGGTGCCCATTCTTGAGGAATTCGATCAAGAGTCTCATCCTTATGCAGCTTGAGTCTTTACAACCAAATTCTTGAAGTTGGCTTATATTTAACAGGTTTTTAATATATGTAAAGTTTGTTGTGTCAGTTTTGGCAGAGATAACTCTTTGTCTTGAAGAAAAAGAAATGGTTTTTCATGCAATATGCCTAGAACTTGACCTTTCTGCCTGTAACTCCTGGAACTACTCAATCTAAATCTCTTAGGCTATAGCAGAAAGGGGACAATCAGATATCTTCTTTAGAAGAGGATTTTTATTCTTGATAGTGATAAAGGAAGAGAAAAAGTTTCTTTGGAGGAAAAAAATAACTTGACAAGGATCCATACTTGTCTCATTAAAAATTTCCTAAAAAGAAAAGTTTTTTAAATATTTGAGGAGAACAGAAAAGAGTTTTAACATTTATATTTCTTAATATTTTTTCTTGTTCAAAGTTCTATATTAATATTAATAATTTTTTTTGCTAATAATAATTTGTTTTTTCTTTCTTTTTTTATTATTTTATTAATTGGCACTAGATATCTTTTTTTTTTCTTTTGTTTTTTATAATATACTTTGAAATTTATGATATATAGTTTGTTAAAAATATTTTTTTATATTTGGTTTTTTTTAAAAAAAAAATTTTATAAATTAATAAATAAATTAATATTTTTTTATATTTTTTTAATAAAAAATATATTTAATATTTCTAAATAGATCTTGAATATTATATTGAATCAAATTATTTATAATTAAAAATTTATTATATATAAGCTTGATTTTGAAAGATCTGTTTTTTATCCTTTAAAAAAATATTATTACTTTTTTAATCAACTGTATTATAATTATCTATTTTTTTTTTATCTTTATTATATTTTAATTAATCCTAGCCTAATACAAATACAGTTGACATATGTGAACTTTTGAGAACCCAAGTAGGTGAAAGGAAAAAAAGGTAAAAATAGCTAGTTACTAGTTGTATTATAAACCTTGCATATGTGCTCCATAAGTGGTGATGGTGGAGGAAGATGCGGTGCTTAGGTTTTGGATTGTGGCCTGGATTCGTATAACCATGTAGCCAAAGATAGTATAATTAAAGGTCACCGATCCTATCCATATTGGTGACTCAAATATCAATATGGCATGATTGGCTTACGTCGATCTTTTGATGGGGGTAAGCTGCTCATGGTTTTTGTTGTAAAAAATTTGGGAGCTGGGTAAAACAAGAAGACAGTC